TTCTGGGACGGGTCAAGAGCCTGGAACACCGGTTGCATCTATCGGCGACATTTTGGTTAACATTAAATGGAAATGGATGAGGGAAGACACTGGTTCTGTGAAAATACCCCTTTTCCACTAGTGGCATACTTGGTCAGCTCTTATCTTTATATTCTAATAAGTTATTTTGCTCTCACTAACAACAAAAAAAGGAATATAAAAATCCTTGCATACTTTGTTCAACTGGAGAATTCTAATGTTCTTCATTTATCATTGTTAAACCAAGAACAATTTTAACGACTCTTTCGTATGTAAATGTTACAAGTAAGGCAGTCTTTTTAAAGTAGGGGTAAATTACTCTAAAAGAAGTGAATCCTAGATAGTTTTCCCCTCAAGTAAAGCACCTGTTGTTTAAATAAACCTCTTGGTTTTTCTTTTAAAGCTATAAACAGGCAAACATGAAAAAATGATATAAGGGTTTTGTGAAGCTGTGTGTGAAGTCTCTACCTAATTAGTATATGCAGGCAAGACTGCACTGTCTTACAGATGTGTGGAGTAAGCTGTGGTGTAGTTTTTTGGCACATAATAAGCACATTGCAGAAGGAAAAAACTGATATTAGGCTCTTTATCACACTATCAAATTTATATGCTATTTATTTCTTCTTTCCTTGTTTCTCTGACCGAAACCTTCCACACAAGATTGAACAGAAGTGGAGACAGTGGCTATCTTTGCCATGTACCTGATCTTAGAAGGAAAGTATTCAATTTTGTACTATTAAGTGAAATGGTTTTTGGTAGATGGCCTTTATTGAGTCGAGGAAGATATTTTTTCTTTTTCTGATATGTATTTATAAAGAATGGATGTTGAATTTTGTCAAATGCTCTTTCTGCATTTATTGAAATGGTAATATGTATTGTCTTTCTCTTTTAGTTTGTTGATAAGGTGAATTACACTGGTCTTCAAACTTTAAACAAATCTTACATTCTTTGGTTAAATACCACTTGGCCATTGTTGCTTTATCAATGTTATATCTTGTTGGATTTAATTTGCTAAAATTTTATTAAGAGTTTTGGAAAATAGGTTCATGAGTGATACTGGTCTGTACCTTTTTTTGCGAGGGAGGGAGAGATGGGTATTGTTTTTGTCTAGATAACTCACAGAATGAATTTCCCTCTCTTCAATATTCTGGAAAAGTTTGTATGGAACTGTTATCATTTATTCCTTAAATGCTTAAGAGAATTTTAAGTATTTAACAGAAATTAAAATTAAATAAAAATGTTTAATCTGATACCCTCTTAATTGGGATATTCAGATCATATATATATTTAAATTAACTAAATTCCAGATTTTATTTGATGTTACCAGTTTTCTCACCAATATCCTTTTCCATTCCAGCACCCTATGTTGCATTTAGGTGTCTCACCTCCTTAGGCTTCTCTGGTCTGCCCATGTCTCCTATAACCTGGCACTTGTAAAAAAAAGTTCTGGTCAATTATTCTGTAAAACTTCCCTCAAGCTGGGTTTGTCTGATGTTTTTTCTAATGATTAGACAGGGATTATGGGGTGCAGGGGAACACCACAGAGGTGAAGTGCCTTTCTCATCATGTCATGTCATATCAGGTGATCCATGATTTCACACACTTACTTCAAAAATAAAAACTGTTTAGTAAGGAAAATTCCATACATACACAAAAATAGCAAGAATAGAGTAAGTACTCATCACTGGGCTCCCGGTTATCAGTGTTTTGTCTCTGTTTCTGGGTGGCTTTTCATCGTGGTTGGAAGATGAGTTTTCCATCTCATCTTTCTTCCTTTTCCCTTCTCCTCTTTCCTTCCTCCCTCTTCTCTCATTTCTTCTTTTTCAAACAAAAAGACAACACTGATTAGCCATGGTGGGAATCTAGCTGGGACCTAGATGGAGGAGCATAAAGAATCTAGGCAAAATGTCCTCGTGCAGGAATCCCCGCTAATAATGGCCTTTTGGTCTTTGCTTCACTTCCAGTTTTACCTGAAGAGGTGACTGGACCATCCCAGGGTATCCTATTATTAGTTTGGACTCTTTAGGATGTGAGTAAAAGGAACCTAACTCAAATTGTTTAAGCAAAAGATGGAAGTCACTGGCTCAGAAAATTAAAATCAACTGAATTGGACTCAATCTTCTGGCTCACTCTGTGTCCCTTCCTTGCCACTTCCCAGCATTCCCCCTCTGTTACTGCCACCTGTGGTGCCAGGATTACTGCTGGAAGCATGTGCTGACCTCTCAGCTTCTCACTCACCCAGCTGTCGATTCTCCCCACAATCATTTCAATGCAACCCAAAGGAGTGAAATTCATTGGTAAACCTGATTGCTTTCCTGCACCTCTTGAAACAACCATTGAGAATGTAATTCTTGATTGCCCAGGTTGAGGTCACAACCCGGTCTTGAGACTAAGAATCAGGTTAAGTCAGACCATATGGGCTGAATAAAGGAAAAGTTACTTCCCCTAAGGAAAACTGGGTTTGTGTTATAAAAAGAAGAGGGTGTGGATCTAGGGCATGAAAAACAATTCATATACTGTATTCCTCTGCTGACACCTTACTCACATCTTTCTTTTCCAGCTTTTCCTTTTTCCAACCCCTGCAGACAAGCCCACTCTCCCTCATGTCCCTCACTGTTACCCCACCATGATTCTTTCAGAGCCCCTTTGCCTGTAGCCAGTGGTGTATCACATTACTGATGAGGTGGGTGTGGTCCACCCTAGGTGCATATGAGGTTGGATTTTCCTCATATACTTCAGCCTAAGCAATATATTGCAGCAGATTCAATGCAGAAGCAGATGTGAGACTCCAGCTATCTTCTATGAAGCCAGATTGCTGCAAGTAATGAATCCTTCCTTATCCTGCTCTATGGCTTGGCTGTGTCTTTTGATTTGACACCCATCAAACCCAATTTTTCAGGTACTCTGGCAGTAATACCACTTGGGAGTCCACTCACCTCTTTGGGCCATGCTTCCTCATTTGTGAGGTGTGGATCACAGTGCTTCTACATCCTGGGACTACTGGAGTGATTCACTCCACCCTCAGCCCTCCTGGATCGATGTTCTCCACCCAGCCAGTTCTGGGCACCAAGGAATCATCGGCTCCTCCAGCTTCTAGATCATTTATATTTAATCTGATAATTGATAAAAACCTCCCATCTTTCCACTTATTTCCCACCTGTTATTTGTTCCCGTCTCCTCTTTCTGACTTCTTTTGGATTGAATATTTTTTATGATTCCATTTTATCTCCCTTGTAGATAATTAGCAATAACTCTTTGTTTTGTTGGTTTAGTGGTTGCTTTAGGCCTGAGAGTGCACATCTTCCACTTATCATATTATCCATTAAAGTGATATTATATTACTTTCCATAGAATTTTGGAAACTTTACAATAGTTATTTTCCATTTACTTCTCTTCTCCTAGCCTTTGTGCTACTGTCGTCATACAAGGTGCTTCTATAACTGTTTATAAATATAATATACCTTAATATATACAACCGTAACTTCATTGTTTTTAGTTTTGCTCAAACAGTAATTTGTATTTTGGTGAGAATTAAATAATAAGAAAATAGTCTTACATGTTAACCCTGTAGTTACCATCTCTGGTGCTCTTCATTCTTTGGGTAGATCCAGATTTCTTTTTGTTACCCAAACACACATAAATTAGGACTCTTGAATTTTCCCTTCCACTGACTAATATTCTGTTCACCTTTTTTTAAAACTTGTTTTCTTTGTGTCTATCCTAGCACTCAAACAGCATCTGGCACACAGTAGGTGCTTTCTAATCGGATACCAGAGGGCAGAATTCCTCACACAAATACACATCCATTAGTCTAATCCTCACACCCTGCCACACACGCTATCATACCACGATCCTACTCCACTCTCCACCAGTCAGTCCCTTTCTCTCATTGCACATTCTCATATGCAAATGTCACACATACAATAACACAATCACACACATGGTCACGGTAATGCACCAGACTCACCCCAATACACAGAGTTTTGCATAGTTACTCTTACAGAAACACGATGCGACAGAATCAAAGGATCGCGCACAACTCACAGTCAGGTGACAGAAACTTAAATAAATACCTAAAATATAAACATCCTTGTTCTTAGAGGGTATAGAGTCAGGTTAAAGAGCTGAAGAGTCTGGAAGAAGTGTAATTAGGGAAAGCCTCTTGGATATGTGACATTTGTATCTGAATGTAGGGAGTAAGGGAATTTTGAAGATACCTGGCAGAAGACCCATTTTAGGAAAACAGGGACACATTCACACTCACTGTCACCAAATCACAAATACAGGAACCGTATGCAAAGTACAACACTCTCTACCCTGACCCCTCCCCTCCTGTCTTCAAAGTAAACCTTTCTCTGGGCAAGAACGCCCTAGAGGAGGTGGTACTGGGCCGAAGCATAATGCACCTGCGCACTCAACTCTCTGCTGTCCCACCACACTTTTTTCGGGTCCCTCAGCTCGAATATAGAAACTCGCTCCTCACCCTCTTTACGTAGACGCGCGCGCACTAGCCGCGCCCACACACCAACCCCGCCCCCTGCGGCTTTCAATTCTCCGCCGGGTTGCTAAGGGAGGTGGACAGAGCGCGTGTGCCTCCGCACTTAAATCCCAGGCCGACTGGTGTGACGCTCGGCGGACCCCGGTTCGGAGCTGGGAGGAATCGATTGGGACGTCCAGGCACCCTCTGCAGGGCCAGGGAGAGGTCGGCGTGGCCGGAGCCGGGGCAGATGGGGCGGTGTTACATGCTCCCAGCGGAGCGGAGCTGTGGCAGTTAACTCCGCTGCGCCGGGGCCTTTTCTGGTCGGGACTACATTTCCCAGTGGCCCCCGCGAACCCTGGGCCCGCGGCCCCTTTGTGTCCTCCGGAGGCCGAGGCGCTTCTTTCCGGGCCCGCAGAGGCTGGGTTCCACCAGATTCCGGGCAGGAGGTGGGCCCGAGAGGAGGTCACCCGAGCCTTCCGGGCAGGGACCCGGTCTTCCGGCAGTTCAGTTCAGCAGGTAGGAAGTGGGTTGAGGAGCGGACCGTGGGACACCCGGACGTCGTTCCCCGGGCCTTCTCTGTGACTCTGCATGTGAGACGGTGGTTGATACCTTCGGTCCGTAAGCCTGTCACCCGATGTGCCTTTTCACATGATATCTGTGTGACTGTGGGTGCGAGTGAGCCGATGGTTGGTGCCACAGAGTGTGAGACTGTGAGTCGGGGTGGGAGGGACTCTCTGTCCCCCAATGTTCCTGTATCCTCGGCCTCTGTGACTGGAGTGTGTGAGTGAGACCATCGGTTTTGATACTCTAGTATTTGAGGCTTGGGGCTTTGGAAGAGGGTGACAGTGTGAGACTGCCCGTACCCATGGCCGCTGACTGATTTGTGTAAGACGGTGGTTGGCGCTGTAGTTTTTAAGAATCTGTGTGTGAGTGTGTGTGTGAGTGTGAGTGTGTGTGTGGCGGGGGAGGGGGTCGGAGAACTGAGACTGCCACCAGTATCTAAGCTAGCCAAGTGATGCCAGTGTGCCACCAAGTTTCAGAACCATTGATCTACTGGAGAGATGAAAGTAGAGTCAGAAAGACCTTTATCTGATTTTGGTGCTGTTATTTATTAGCTGTGTTTCTTTATGCAAACGATTGCATTAATCGGAGTCTTTTGTTTGTAAAATCTAGAAAATCTGTTGTTAAAATAATAAATCTACAAGTGATGTAGGGACCGGTCTCTATTATGCTTTCTCTCCATTGGAGGGAAGGGTGCAACAGAAGGAAAGAGAAGCCAAAAAATTCTAGGCTGGTGATTCTGAATGCTGCAAGGAAAGCCTAGTTTCTCACCTTCTCTTCCCCATCTCACTCATCTAAGGACACTGCCATTTCCCTATAAAAGAGCCAAGGGGAGGAAAGAATGGCTGTTGGACTTCTTACAGCTATGTACCAGGTGAGTTGGTGTTTTCTCTTTTCTGAAATACTTTCTTGCTTTTCAAGACAAGCAGACATTAATTGTCCTTCTGTGGAAACTTTTCTGGATAACCAATCATGTCACTTCTTAAACCCTCCAATAGATTCCCACCTCATTCAGGATAAATGCCGAAGTCCTTGCCTTGGCCTATAAGCCTTACATAATCTGGTCCCTGGCTGTGCCTCTGACCTCATCTAATTTTTCTCACTCTGTCTGTGACTCACTCACTCAGATCCAGTTACACTAACTTCCTTCTACCGAGTTGATTATATTCTCAACTCATGGCCTTGCACTTACTGTTCTGTCTGCTTAGAATGCTGTTCCCTCAGTTACAGACCAACTTCAGTCTCTGTCCAAATGTTCATTCATTAAGCAAATTTTTATTAAGCACCTAATTAACTAAGAGTGCTTAGTCCTTGTCTTCCTCTCTGCTGTAGCTACACTCAGTCATTGATCACATCTAGTATCATGGCTTTAAATACCATCTGTATGCCAACGACTACCAAATTGTATACAGCCCAGAACTCTTGTCCAGAAATCCAGACTTATATATCTACCTACCTTCTCAGTATCTTCATTTGGTTGTGGAATGGACACCTCAAATTCAGATGTCTCAAACTGAGTGAAATGAGCCATTGGAAGTTTTGGGGCATAGGAGTGGTATGATCTGATTCCCATTAAGGATCTCTCTGGTTGCTATTGAGAATAAGTTGAAAGGACAAAAACAGGAAAATCAGTTAGAAAACTCTTACATACTTCCCCATCTCAGATGTTCAAGTTAAAAGTCTTCTATCAGGAAGTTCTGTTTGTCCTACTTGCAAAACATACCCAGAATCTGAGCACTTTTTACTACCACCAGTTTCCATTCTGGCCTAAACCATCGTCTCACCTGGATTATTGCTGTGCTCTCCTAACTTGTCTCTTGATTTATACCCTTACTGCCTTTAGTCTATTCTCAACAGAGCAGCCAAAGTGATCTTGTTAATATTACATCATATTATATCATTCCTCTTCATTGCAGGGAGGGAATTAATAGAAAGTATAGACAACTCTTTCAAATAGTTTAGTAGTAGGGGAAGAAGAGATATGGGTGGTAACTGAAGGAGAAACTGTGGTCAAGGTTTTTTTTTAAGATGGGTGTATGTCTGTGGGCTGATGTGAAAGATTCACTAGAAAGGGAAATTGAAGATGAAAAGGAGAGAGGAGGGAATTGTTTGGACACTACTTAAGTAGCTGAGAGGAACTGAGGTCTGCTGTATAAGTGGAGGGGTTGGCCTTTGCTAGGAAGGTGGGCTGTTCATTTACAATAATAGGATCAACTCAGAGTATATGGGCACAGATGCAAGTTGATGTGTAGATGTGGGAGTTCATGGAAGTTCTCTTAGAATGGCTTTTATTTTTTCAGTGAAACAAAACAGGATCTTTAGCTGAGTGTAACGATGAGGAAGGAGGTATTGACTATTTGAGGGGAGAGAAGTAAATACCAAATGACGGTTTAGGAGAGTGGGGGAAATGAATGGACTAAAGAAATGTATCATGTAAGTAGATAGGAATGTATCATTTTGGCCCACTGAAAGTTAGTGATCATGAATATAATGTGAGACCAGTTAGCATGGTTGGTTTGATTTCTCCAGCAAAGTTCAACTGTGCAGGGTACAGTAAAAGAGTATGCTGAGTGATGCGTATGGTTTAACCAGGTGAGTACAGTGAAGTCAGAGGGGGCAGGGAAGTTGAGGGTGTATGCTTGGGGATGTTTATAACAAATGGTTGTTCTAGGAATTGAAGGTACATGGGGATGAGGAACAGTGAAAACATGGTAAGATCAACGATTTGTAAGTTCTAGTGGGGGCAAAGGATTATCCTAATTTGGGTACCAAGAGGGCAAAAATTGGAATATAGAAGGTGGAAGTGAGAGTGGGAAAGTTGAGATTATGGAGGGTTTGGTACTTACAACAAGGTCTAGGGCATGATTGTGGAAGTGAGTGACTGTACAAATGTGGAGGATGAGATTACTGGAGGAGAGAGGGGGTCAGAGAACTGAGAGGCCAGGTTGTTGGGAGGGTTATTTATATGGATATTGAAATGACCAAAGATTATGTATAATGGGAGTAGCATTGAAGAGCGTGACGGTGAGCCAGATGCTGAAGGGTTCAAGGAATGACAGAATTGGTATCTATGAGGATTCGGTAGATAACTAAAATAAGGAGGGATAGTGGTATAGCCTGATTTCATGAGACTGAAAACTAAGTGTCTTTTAGGGAAGAGGGTTGAGTAATGGTATGGAAACAAGTATAAGGAACAAAGAGGTTACCTACCTCTCCTCCGCGTGCTGTGGTACAAGGGATGTGAGAAATAAGACAGTTACCTCATGACAGGGCTTCAGGGGAACCAGTCTTCTCCGCTGGGAGCCATGTTTCTATAAGGGCAAAAAAGTGAAGGAAACTGTTGACTTTCTATAGACTGGTTTGGTTATAATTATGAATGGATCTTGAAACCAAGTATTGGGTTAGAGGTCAAATATTTTAAGAGGTTCTTTGTTAGAGGTCAAATATTTTAAGGTTAAAATTTAAGCATTGTAATTATTTTCATTGATTGTATAAATTAACTCAAGGAATCAGTGAAAAAATGTGTGTCATATAAAAAAAATTTATACATTTGTTATACATATTTACATAAGCTAAGGAAAACATTTTTGGAAGCATGTATACGTATGAACCAAACCTTAACAGGAGCATTTCTGCAATATATGAGGGATGGTATTGCTAGAGTGGAGAGGGAGTAATTCACAAACTACTGCATATGATTAAATAAGAAAAAAAGTAATTGAGTGTTGAAAAACACTTTAAGAATTTTTACTTTGTAGAGAAATTTTTTAAACTATGACAAAATTGTGTCAAATGCACAATAGAAAAGTTCTTCTGCCTTGACAGATTCACCTCTTCTAATTCTGTAAAAAAAATTTATGTGTGTGTATATATATATGTGTATGTGTGTATGTGTGTGTATGTATATGTATATATATGTACATATATATATCCACACACATAATGTATGTTAGTTTATCAAGTGGTCACATTATAGAAACCTGGCACCCAGCTGAATCATAGCATAGCTCCAAGTTTCTAAGAACTTTGCTCAGTTCCTATAGGCAGAAGCAGTATTATGAGTGGTATAGTCATTTCTTTATACAAAATTTAGGTACTCTGGATTAAAGTATTTGAATTTTAATGGAGTTGATGATTTGTTTTGCTTGGTCTAGCACTGTTTCTGGAGATACAGCAAGCACTTTCTGGTCTCATTTTTTTTTTTTTAAAGTATCTTCCACATTTAATTTATTTATTTATTTATTTATTTATTTATTTATTTATTTATTTAACATTTTTTATTGATTTATAATCATTTTACAATGTTGTGTCAAATTCCAGTGTTCAGCACAATTTTTCAGTCATTCATGGTCTGGTCTCATTTTTGACCCTCTTATGCCTTCTTGAAATTTCCAAACCATTCATTCATTAATCCAGCTTATTCAGCAGATATTTGGATGCTTCATGTGTCCCAGATACTGTTCTGTAACTGAGGATATAGCGGTGACCAAAACGAAAACATACTCTGCTCTCATGAACTTTACATTTTAGTGGAGGTAGGGGGCAGACAATAAATAACTAATTAATGGTAATGGAGAAAAATAGGGGAATAGGGAACTGGGGTAAGAGCATTGCTACTTTTATACAGAATGATCTGAGAAGTACAAAGGCCTTGAAGGGGAACATGCTTGACATATTTGAGGATGTAACATCTGAGAGTCCCGAGTGCCTGGGGCACAATGAAGGAGGTGAGTATGGAAAGAGATGAGGTTATTTCACTTTATTTATTTATTTATTTCCTTTAAGGAGTTGGTGACCTTCAGGGATGTGGCTGTAGACTTCTCCCGAGAGGAGTGGGATTGCCTAAATTCTTCTCAAAGGCATCTGTACAGTAATGTGATGTTGGAGAACTACAGGATCTTGGTATCACTGGGTAAGAATATCATCTTGCGTAAATGAGCCTCTACTCATAATGGGCACTTTGCTCCCACCATTGTGAATTTTTGGATAGCATCTGGTGTGCAGTCAAGCACAAGGTCTGCTGCCTGTGCTAAAGTAACGGATTAATATTTGTGGAGTTGGCAGTAAACAGGTCTATTATTAATCTATGTCAGAAGCTTCAGCCTCGCTGTCCTTTGAATATGTGTCCTTATCACATTCTTCTCTGGCTTTCTATAAGCTCCCTCTTCCCTAATGATCAAAGAATTGGGTGTGAATTGTGGGATATCTACAGCATGAGCAAATTCTTTTTCTTTTCATATATACAGGACTTTGCTTTTCTAAACCAAGTGTGATATTATTGTTGGAACAAGGGAAGGAGCCCTGGATGGTGAAGAGAGAGCTGACAAAAGGCTTGTGCTCAGGTGAGTGGGGATAAAATAGGCAGGCAGAAACCTTTGGAGGTGACAGCCCAGCTTAACTCAAAGGTATCACCTCTTCACTCTTCCTTGTTGTTGACATGTTCTCAAATGTTCTAGGTATTAGTAGAAACTTGAGTCCTTTTAGGGTGTTCTCCCAAAGTTATTATTCTAAACTTTCTCTCCTTTCACACTTTGCCCTCTCTTATCTGTTCTCTGAGTCTTATACCTTCCCAGTTCCATAAGTCTCTTCCAGTCTTAAACTTTTGAGCTCTACAGATGTCTGTAACTGCAGTAACAAGTTCAAATCCTGACACTTAGGTGCAGTGAAAGTTTGGGCAAGTTACTTAACTTGTCGGTGCCTTTGTTTTGTCATCTGTAAAATGGGATAATATTTTTAAAGTGCTGTCAACAGTCCCTATCTCATACTCTAAGCTCAAAAGCTGTTAGCTACTACTTTATAGTAGAAGTAGTGTACCTCTAAATGCCTCATTTTTCTCTTAATGGTCAGTTCATTCATTCCTTTAACCAACATTTATTGAATTTGTACTTTAAACAGGGTTCTTGGAAGATGCTGTGATGTTATACATTTATAAAAATAATCAAATAATTGATAGACTTGTGGCAGAGATGTAATATAGCTATAAATGGCATATGTGAAAAGAAAGTTGACATAAAGGAAGTTCAGAGAGGTGAGAGGGGACTCTGGTTAACTGGGAACATGATGGTCTTTAACAAAAACAGGTTAGAAGCTAGAAAACATTTGAGGGAGAAGAGATTAAGAGTTTAGCTTTGTGGTGTAGGAAGGATTTTCAGATAGACATAGGAAGCATTAAGGTAAAACGGAGGACTAAAGTTCAGAAGAGGATTGGGGTCATTGTAAATATCTCTGTCAACACCACTCCCCAACTCACCCACACTCCCACCCCCAACCACTAACTCACCCCAATCTTTTATGTTTTTATTCAGTTTCCTAAGAAAAAATTTTGATGTGAAACTGTAGTATCAGAGAATATATGGCTACATTTTATTTATTTATTATTGTTATTAAATAAACCACACACACATATAAATAAATATTAGCCTATATATATAGCTTAAGTAATATACCAAAAACATATGTACCTACTTCTTAATTTGGGAAATAGAACATTGTCAATGCTATTTTAGGCCCTTGAGGACCCCTGCCTAGAGATGTGCCACTCCCTACCCTTGGCCCATCCCTAGCCTAGGGAACTACTAGGGTAACCACTATCCTACAATTCGCTTATCATTTCTTGACTTTTCTTATAGTTGTGCCATATATCCCTAAACAAAATATTTATATTTATGTATTTTCAGTTTTTTATGTGTGGAAATATACTGTGCATATAATTCTGACTTTTTTCCATCTCAAAATTATATTCCTGAGATTCATCCATGTTGATTTTAGTCACTATTTTTTATTGAATTTTTTTTCTGTTGAAATGTAATGTATTCCACTGTGTAAATGTATCCATTCTCCAATGGATTTGTTGTTTGTTATTCTCCAGCATTTGTTATTGGTTATTTGAGTTATTTCAGTTTTATGTTATAAATGTTACTGCTGTGAACCTTACTACATGTGACAGCTGGTACACGTATGCTAGAGCTCTTACAGAGACTATAGCCAGGAATTTACTGGATAATGCTATTTTACCTTCCAGAGTACTGGTACTAATTTACATTTCTAACAGTTGTATGTGAGAGTGTTCATTGCTCCACACTCATAATTGACAAATAGTAAAATTTTTGCAAATTTGGTGGGTGTGAAATATTATCTCCTTATACTTGTCACCTGACTGTCCTTGATAAATATAAAAATTTGGCTTCTTTTTATGTTTATAAATTGCCATTTGGATTTCCTTTTCTCTGAAGTGTCTGCTCAAGTCCTTTGTTCACTTTTAGGAATATATAAATAAATAAATAGAGAGAGAGAGAGACAGAGAGAAGTAGAGTTGATATACAGTATTATAATAGTTTCAGATGTACAACATAGTGATTCAGTATTTTTATAGATTATACTCCATTCAAAGTTATTATAAAGTATTGGCTATATTCCCTGTGCTCAATATATCCTTGCTGTTTATTTATTGTATACATAGTAGTTTGTATCTCTTAATCTCTTACCCCTGTCCTGCCCCTCCCTGATACTCTCTCCCCACTGTTAACCACTAGTTTGTTTTCTATATCTGTTTCTGTTTTCTTATATTCATTTGCTTGTTTTACTTTTTAGATTCCACATATAAGTGATAACATATAGTATTTGTCTTTCTCTGTCTGACCTATTTCTCTTAAGTATAATACCCTCCAGGTATACTAGGGTTCCTCTTCTCCACATCCTCGCCAGCATTTGTTATTTATGGTCCTTTTGATGATAGCCATTCTGACAGGTGTGAAGTGATACCTCATTGTGGTTTTGTGTAGCTTATATATATATATTCAATTATATACATATATAATCAATATATATATATTTTATTGAACTATAGTTGATTTATAATATGTTAGTTTCAGGTATATAGCAAAGTGATGCAGATATATATATATTCTTTTTCAGATTCTTTCCATTATAGGTTTTTAGAGGATTTTGAATATAGTTCCCTGTGCTATACAGTAAATCCTTGTTATGTATTTTATATTTAGTGGTGTGTATTTTTTAATCCCATATTCCCAATTTATCCCTTTTCCCTTTTCTCCTTTGGTAACCATAGTTTTTTTTCTATGTCTATGAGTCTGTTTCTGTTTCAAATAAGTTCTTTTGTATTATTGTTTAGTTTTTTCATGTAAGCAATATCATATAATATTTGTGTTTCTCTGTATGACTTGCTTCACTTAGTATGATATTCTCTGGGTCCATCCATGTGGCTGCAAATGGCAATATTTTATTCTTTCTTATGGCTGAGTAATATTCCATTTTATGTATGTATACACACACCACATCTTTGTATGTATGTCTATATATATATACACACACACACCACATCTTTTCCCATTTATCTGTTGATGGACACTTAGGTTGTTTCTATGTCTTGGCTGTTGTAAATAGTGCTGCTATTAACATTGGGTGCATGTATCTTTTCGAATTAAGAGTTTTTTCTGGATATATATCCAGGAGTGGGATTGCTGGATCATATAGTAAGTTTATTTTTAGTTTTCTAAGGAACCTTCATACTGTTTTCCATAGTGGCTGCACCAAACTACATTCCCACCAACACTGTAGGAGGGTTCCCTTTTCTCCGCACCCTTTCCAGCATTTATCGTTTGTGGACTTCTGAATTATGGCCATTCTGACTGGTGAGGGGTGATACCTCATTGTAGTTTTGATTTGCATTTCTCTGATAATTAGCAATATTGAGCATTTTTTCCTGTACCTGTTGGCCATTTGTGTGTCTTCATTGGAGAATTGCTTGTTTAAGTCTTCTGCTCATTTTTGGATTGGGTTGTTTGTTTTTTTCTTATTAAGTTGTATGAGCTGTTTATATCTTCTGGAAATTAAGTCCTTGTCAGTCTCATCTTTTGCAAATATTTTCTCCCATTCTGTAGGTTGTCTTTTGTTTTGCTTATGGTTTCCTTTGCTTTGAAAAAGCTTAGAAGTTTAATTAGGTCCCATTTGTTTATTTTTCTTTTATTTCTATTGCTTGGGTAGATTGCCCTAGGAGAACATTGCTGAGATTTATGTTGGATAATGTTTTGCCTAAGTTTTCTTCTAAGAAGTTTGTTTATAGTGTCTTGTCTTCTGTTTAAGTCTTTTAGCCATTTTGAGTTTATTTTTGTGTATGGTGTTAAGGGGTATTCTAACTTCATTGATTTACATGTAGTTGTCCAGTTTTCCCAACACCATTTGCTGAAGAGACTGTCTTTACTCCATTGTATGTTCTTGCCTCCTTTGTCAAAGATTAATTGACCAAAAGTTTGTGAGTTCATTTCTGGTCTCTCTATTTTGTTCCATTGATCCATATGTCTGTTTTTGTACCAGTATCATGCTGTTTTAATTACTGTAGCTCTGTAGTATTGTCTGAAGTCTGGGAGGGTTATTCCTCCAGCTTCATTCTTTTTCTTCAGTAATGCTTTGGCGATTCTGGGTCTTTTGTGATTCCATATAAATTTAAGAATTATTTATTCTAGTTCTGTGAAAAATGTCTTGGGTAATTTGATAGGGATGGCATTAAGTCTGTAGATTGCTTTGGGTAGGGGCCATTTTAACAATATTTATTATTCCAACCCAAGAACATGAGATACCTTTCCATTTCTTCAAGTCATCTTTAATTTCCTTACTCAGTGTTTTTTAGTTCTTCACATATAAGCCTTTCACTTCCTCGGTGAGGTTTAGTCCTAAGTATTTTTTGTTTTTTGGATGCTAATTTAAAAGGGATTGTTTCTTTACTTTCTTTTCCTGTTGATTCATTGTTAGTGTAAAGAAACGCCACTGATTTCTGTATGTTAATTCTGTATCCTGCTACCTTGCCGAATTCTTTTATTAGCTCTAGTAGTTTTTGTTTGGAGCCTTTAGGGTTTTCTATATTTAGTATCATGTCATCTACATATTAATGACAGTCTTACCTCTTCTCTTCCAATTTGGATCCCATTTATTTATTTTTCTTGTCTAATTCCTATGGCTAGGACTTCCAATACTATATTGAATAGAAGTGGTGAGAGTGGGCATCCTTGTCTTATTTGATTTTAGTGGAAAGGCTTTCAGCCTCTCAGTGTTGAGTATTATGCTGGCTGTAGGTTTGTCATAAATAGGTTTTATTATGTTGAAATATGTTCCCTCTATACCCACTTTGGTAAGAGTTTTTATCATAAATTGGTGTCGAATTTTATCAGATGCTTTTTCTGCATTATTGAGATGACCATGTGATTTTTGTCCTTTCTCTTGTTGATGTGGTGTATCATGTTGATTGATTTGTGTATGTTGAACCATCCTTGTGCCTCTGGAATGAACCCAACTTGATCATGGTGTATGATCTTTTTTATGTGTTGGTGGATTCCGTTTGCTAATATTTTGTTGAGGATTTTTGCATCTGTGTTCATCAATGATATTGGCCTATAGCTTTCTTTTGTGGTAGTGTCTTTGGCTTTGTTATCAGGGTGATGATGGCTTCATAGAATGAGTTTGGGAGTATTCCCTCCTTTTTAATCTTTTGGAAGAGTTTGAGAAGGATTAGTATGAGCTCTTCTTTGTATGTTTGATAGAATTTCCCAGTGAAGCCATCTGGTCTTGGACTTCTGTTTGCAGGGAGGTTTTTTTTATTGCTGATTCTATTTCACTTCTAGTGATTGGTCTGTTCAAATGATCTGTTTTTTGTTGATTCAGTTTTGGTGGACTGTATGTTTCTATAAACTTGTCCATTTCTTATAAGTTGTCCAATTTATTGCCATATAGTTGTTCATAGTATTCTCTTACGGTTTTTTGTATTTCTGTGCTGTTGGTTGTCTCCAGTTTCATTTCTTATTTTGTTTATTTGTGTCCTCTCTCTTTTCTTCTTGGTGAACCTGGCCAGAGATTTGTTGATTTTGTTTACTCTTTCAAAAAACTAGCTCTTGGTTTGATTGATTTTTTCTATTGTTTTTTAAATCTCTATTTTATTTATTTCCTCCCTGATCTTTGCTTTCCTTCTGCTGACTTTAGGTTTTGTTTGTTCTTCTTTTTCTAATTCTTTTAGGTGCTAGGTTAGGTTGTTTATTTGAGATTGTCCTTCTTTTTTGAGGAAGGCCTGTATCGCTATGAACTTCCCTCTTAGGACTGCTTTTGCTGCATCCCACAGATTTTGTGTGCTTGTGTTTTCATTGTCATTTGTCTCAAGGTATTTTTAAATTTCTTCTTTGATTTCATCATTGACTAATTGGTTTTTAGTAGTATGTTGTTTAGTCTCCATGCTGTCATTTTTTTTTTGTCATTTGTTTTTCTGTGGTTAATTTCTGGTTTCACAGGATTAAAAAAAAATCTTGCAGTGAGTTTGTCAAACTGCAAAATCTGAGAGGACAGTGCTCCACAAGATTGCACTTATTTCAGACACCCACTGAAAGCTGGGGATCCTCAGAGCCACCCTCATTTCTGACCACCTGGCCACAAATTTGGGAGTGCCTACAATCTCCCTCAGGTTTGATAATTCACTAAGACTTACAGAATTCAGGCAAGAGCTATATTATGATTACAGCTTTATTGTAACAAAACAATACAAATCAGAACCAGACAAAAGGAGAGACACCAAGGGCAAAGTCTGAGAGAGTGGCAAATGTGAAGCTTCTGTTGTCCTCCGGGCCCACCAGGCACCTTGATATTCAAAAGAATATTGCCAACTAGGGAAGCTCTCTTGAGCTTTAATATCTAGAGTTTGTTTTGGGGGGCAGTGGAATGAGGGTGGGGTTTTTTCATTTGCTTTTGGTTTTGTTTTGTTTTGTTTCATTATGTAGGCATGACTGAGTGGATCATAAACCAATTTGACTCAGTCTCCAGCCTTCCTTCCTTTCCCAAAAGTCAGACTGATATCATGGTGGCTCAAAGGTCCAACTTTCTAGTCATGTGGTTGGTCTTTCCAGCATGGCTAGCCTTCAGCCTGAGTCATCTTGTTAGCCAAACTATCTAGGGGCTCATCATAAGTCACCTTACTAGTGTTAATTATCAGGTGTGGTCCAAGGAGCTCACGATGACTAACAAAGACATTACTTCCAGGAGTTCAGAGGGTTTAGAGGTTACCTCCTGGGAAACAGGACAAAGGCCTGCCAGATTCTTCATTATGCAGTTCTTTTAAAAAAATCACAATAGGCTCTGACTGGGATTGAATGGACATAATCTGTAAGTTTAGTGAGGCTTAGTGGCTTTACATTGTTGATTCCTCATATGTAAAAGCAAATTAAAAGATAGTTCTTTTAATGATTACTGTTATTAGCTGTTGTTTTTTTAATTATTTCTGTGACATTTCTTAACTAATATATTCCAAACTACGTGTTATTATGTAAGTGTACTTTATTATTTTTCAGTATATTTATACTGAAAAAGTTAATTTTTATTATGACCTTGTAATATCATGTGGTATTAATGTTCTCAGCCCTGACTTTTTCTTGTTCACTTCTGCTCCTTATTAATCTTTTTTGGTTTCTTCTCTTTTCCTAAATATCTTAATGTTGGAGTGCTCCAGGGTTCCTTCCTTGCTCCTTTCTCTTCTCTTTATCTATACACATTCTCTTGGTAATACAGTCTCTTTAAATACCATTTATATGCTGGCAGCTCCCAATTTAAAAATCTCTAGTCCTGACCACTATCTTTTTTGTGTGTGTGTGTGATTTATAAATAGTTGATTTATAGTATTAAGTTAGCTTCAGGTGTACATCATAGTGATTCAAAATTTTTATAGATTATACTCCATTTATAGTTACTATAAAATATTAGCTGTATTCCTTGTGCTATATACTATATCCTTGTAGGTTATTTATTTTGTACATAGTAGTTTGTACCTCTTAATCCTCTACCCCTATCTTGCCCCTCCCTGCTTCCCTTTCATCACTGGTAACTACCAGTTTGTTCTCTATATCTGTGAGTCTATTTCTGTTTTCTTATATTTGTTTGTTTTATTTTTTAGATTAGATATATAAGTGATAACATATAGTATTTGTCTTTCTCTGACACTTTACTAACATAATATCCTCTGGGTCCATCCATGTTGTTGCAAATGGCACGATTTCATTCTTTTTTATGACTGTGTAGTATTCCACTGTGTGTGTGTGTGTGTGTGTGTGTGTGTGTGTGTGTGTGTGTGTGTGTGTACCACATGTTCCTTATCCATTCATCTGTTAATAAAATTTAGCTTGCTTCCATATCTTTGCTACTGTAAATAATACTGCACTGAACATTGGGTTGCATGTATCTTTTTGAGTTAGTGTTTTCATTTTCTTCAGGTATATATATCTAGGCGTGGAATTGCTGAATCATATGATAGTTCTATTTTTAGTTTTTTGAGTTACCTCTGTACTGTTTTCCCTAGTGGCTGTACTAGTTTACATTCCCAACAGTGTTCTAGGGTTTCCTTTTCACCACACCCTTACCAACATTTGTTATTTGTGGCCTTTTTGATGATAGCCATTCTGACACGTATGAAATGACATCTATTGTGGTTTTGATTTGCATTTCTCTGATGATTAGTGATGTTGAGCATCTTTTTATGTGCCTGTTGGCCATCTTCTTTGGTATATCTTCAGAGAAATTTCTATTCAGGTCTTTTACCCATTTTTTAATCAAGTTTGTTTTTTTAATATTGATTTGTGTGTCCTATTTATATGTTATGGATATTAATGCCTTATCCTAGACCACTATCTTAAACTTAGTCTCATGTGTCCATCTGCCTTCTCCACATTTCCATTTCAAAGTCTAAAAAACATATTAAGTTTATAATATTTAAAACTGAACTCTGGTTCTTCTGTACCTCACTACCTACATCTGCTATATCCATAGCCTTTTCCATCAGTGTTGATGGCTATTCCATCCTTTCATTGTTCAGACCATAAACTTTGAAGGCATAGTTGTCTGTCTCTTTCTGTCACATTCTGTATCCAGTCTGTAAGGATATCCTCTTGGCTTTTCCTACAAAATACACCTAGGCTCTGACCACCTCTCTATACCTCCATTGATATCTCTCTGGTCTGAATCATTACCATCTCTCATGTTGATTGCTACAGTAATAGGTCCCCTTGCTTCTCCCCTTGCTTTCCACTTTCTAGTATTTTCATTAAACCGTAACTAGACATCACTTCTATACACATAACACTTCAGTGGTTCTCCATCTCACTCAGAGTAAAAGCTATGTTCCTTAGGAGACCTATAAAACTTAAATAATCTGATTATCCTTTACCCCCTGACTTCATCTTCTACTACATAGTCCTCTCCAGCCACACTGGCTTTCTTGCTATTCCTCAAAGAAACCAAACATGCTTCTACTTTTAGGCTATTTCTTCTTCCCAGAATGTTCTTTTTCCAGATATCTAAGTGACTAACTTGTTTTACTTCCTTCACATCTTTTAACGTTAACTTTTTAATGATTCCTACCTTTGACTTCACCAAACTCCTGATCTCTCTTATCCTACTTTTCTTTTGGCCTAGCACTTAAGTGCCTTCTAACATACAATAAAATTTACTTATTTAACATTTATTTCCTATCTCCTCCAAGAACATAAGGTCCATGTAGTTAAGGATCTTTGTTTTGTTTACTCTGATATCAGAAGCATCTAGAACAGTACCTGGCACAAGTTTCAATTAATGTTCTTGAAAGAAGCAACTAGACGAATGGAGATTATTTGAATTCCTGTATTATCCATACATGCATAAAATTAGAACCAAGTCCAACCACCTATGTAATTCCTTCTTGACCTGATAGTTACCTTGTTGATGTTCTTAATAATTCTCATCATTCCTTCTCAAGTTTCTGTATGACCTATTTTCAGTTTATGTTCTTATACACATCAGAACTAGAAAAGCTAGTGTTCTTGTGGGCATTATTTGCTATTAAATTCACAAACTCCACTTTATGAATGTACCTTCATAAATGTACCTTCTGGTACATAGTAGAGGAGACATTTTTTTATTATTATTATTTTTCAGACTGGGACTCTATGTGTGAGACTAAACAATTAAACCTAAAGCGGGACATTTATGAAGCGCAGTCATCTCAGAAGGTAATAAAAAAACTTACAAGCAGTGGCCTTGAGTACTCCAGTTTGAGAGAAGAATGGAAATGTAAAGGCCATTTTGAGAGGCAACCAGTGAATCAGAAGGCATGCTTCAAGGAAGAGACAATCACTCATGAAGAAACCCCTGCTGATGAAAGGGGACAAGAATATAGCAAAACTTGGGGAAGTTTCCATCCAAGCACACTACTTCATACACCACAGATAATCCCCAAAGAAGAGAAAGTAGTTGCACATAATACACATAAAAGCTTTAAAAAAAAGTTAATGGGCATTAAGCCCAAGAGTATCTATACAGAGAAGAAACTTTTGAAATGTAATGACTGTGAAAAAGTTTTCAGCCAGAGCTCATCCCTTACTCTTCATCAAAGAATACATACTGGAGAGAAACCCTATAAATGTGTAGAATGTGGGAAAGCCTTCAGCCAGAGATCAAATCTTGTTCAACATCAGAGGATTCATACTGGAGAGAAGCCCTATGAATGTAAGGAATGTAGGAAGGCCTTCAGTCAGAATGCACACCTAGTTCAACATCTGAGAGTTCATACTGGAGAAAAACCTTACGAATGCAAGGTGTGTAGGAAAGCCTTCAGCCAGTTTGCTTACCTTGCTCAACATCAGAGAGTTCATACTGGAGAGAAACCCTATGAATGTATTGAATGTGGGAAGGCTTTTAGCAATAGATCATCTATTGCTCAACACCAGAGAGTTCATACGGGTGAGAAACCTTATGAATGTAATGTCTGTGGGAAAGCATTTAGCCTTCGTGCATACCTTACTGTACATCAGAGAATACATACTGGAGAGAGACCCTATGAATGCAAGGAATGTGGGAAAGCTTTCAGCCAGAATTCACACCTTGCTCAGCATCAGAGAATTCATACTGGAGAAAAACCTTATAAATGCCAGGAATGTAGGAAAGCGTTCAGCCAGATTGCCTACCTTGCTCAACATCAGAGAGTTCATACTGGAGAGAAACCCTATGAATGTATTAAATGTGGGAAGGCTTTTAGCAATGATTCATCCCTTACTCAGCATCAGAGAGTTCATACTGGAGAAAAGCCTTACGAATGTAATGTTTGTGGAAAGGCTTTTAGTTACTGTGGATCCCTTGCCCAACACCAGAGAATTCATACTGGAGAGAGACCCTATGAATGTAAGGAATGCAAGAAAACCTTCAGGCAACATGCACACCTTGCTCATCATCAGAGAATCCATCTTGGGGAGTCACTCTCACCACCCAATCCAGTCAGTCACCAAGTCCTATAGACTCTCATTAGTACTTCTGGAATTTATACTCATTTTCTCCATCTCTAATGTTGCCTTCCTAGTCTTAAGTTTCGTCTTACTGGATCACTGCTATAGCTTTCTAACAGGTTTCTAACAGCTTTCTGAGCCAACTTCTGGTCCCGTTAAATTCATTTCCCACCATGCATCCAAACTGATCTTTTTGAAGTGTAAGAATACACATATCACTGCCTCCAGTTAGAAGTTTTTTTTGGCTTGCTGTTGTTCTTAAGCTAACGTTCAGTCTTTTAAACTGTCTATGAGGAACTTCTTTGATTCTTGTTTTGTTTGTTTCTTTTTTGAGCACAGGTGGACACCATAATTGGCAATGTCTGATTCTTACATACTTTTCCGCCTTATTTTATTCCAGTCTCCCTCTCTGGGCACTAGGCACTTCCCAAGACTAAGAGCTTAGATTCTGGAAAATCATAGCTCTACTACTACTGTGGCTTTGTGTGACTGAGTAATTTGCTTGACTTATCTAAACCTCAGGGTTTTCTTTAATTCTTAAAATAGGGATAATAAAGGATATTGTAGAAATGTGAGTATTAAATGAAGTAGTCTCTATTGTAGATTGGTGCATATTAGGTAAGAAATTTGCATGTAAAGTACTTAACATAGTGCATCAAATATTGCAAATATTCAGTTAAATAATAATAGCTAACATGTATTGAGTGCTTACTAGGCACTAGGCACCGTTCTCCATACTCAACATATATTAACTCATTTACTCCTTACAGCTAAAATATGATTCCTTAGTGGACAAAGCAGAACATCCATGCAAAGCAGCAGGTCAGAATTGGGAAAACCTAAAAATTTTGGACTATAAGTGGGAGTGTTTGGACTCTAAGTGAGTGTTGATACAGACACAAATAGTGGAACTCTAACACTTAAAACCAGTTTTAGGATGTTTCTAAAGAGAATGAGTTGGATAAACCAATTAAAGAAAATTAAGATTCACTGAGACGAATACAGAACTTACATTTAGATCAAGACAAGAACAGAGAGGACTGCTATTTACTCCCAAAAGCCAATAAACATAGAAATTTGTACTGTACCATAAGAAAGCATCAGCCCCAGGTAATTATGTGGGTGAATCTAGGTAATTTCAAAAGCATTTAAACTGTTACATACCATAGAAAAAGAACAAAGTTTGTAAAAATTTTTATCAAGTGGCTGTAAAATGAAACTAAAAGGGGATTGAGGGAAGAAAACTACAAACTACTCAATATTCACTGAATGTGTAGATATATTGAGTAGCTCCAATTTGCCAGCTACTGTTTTAGGTGTGAGGAGACAACATGATCAATACAAAGACCGTGTCCTCATGGAGTTAAATTCCAGAGGCTGAGAAAGTTAATGCTTAAATATAAAACAATTGATTTTGTAGACCCAGAAAACTAAAGAATAACAAAATAAATTGAAGCATATGAAACAGCCTAGGCTGAAGAGAATCAATAAAGTTATCAGTTAACTCCTAATTCACAGATTCATTGCAGTTCCAACCAGAATTCCTCAATGGGCATTTTTGCCCCTTAATTTCACAATTTTGTTTTCAAATTCATCTATGAAGTATGAATTCTCAAGAACAGCAAGAAAATTATTGAATCTGATCTATTTATAGAAATTCTGCATATGATAAAAATGGTTTATACCAGTAGAGAAAGTATAGTATAATTGACAATATACATCACAGTAATAAGGGAAACAAACACAAGTAAAACCACAGTAACTATTTCAAAATCATCACATTGACAAAAGCATCACAGTACCAATTACCAGAAAGATGTGAAGCAATGGGAATAATGTACAGTGCATTTGGAAATAGTTTTTTAAAAAGGATAATTTGTCAATGTTTAGTAAAGTTGAAGATGTGGATACTCTGACTCAGCAATTCTGCACTTGAACCTCTACAGAGTCTCTCGTGTTCAGGGAGATGTACATGAAAACCCACTTCAGTGTTGTTTGTGAGAATGAAAGCAATCAGAATTACCATTAGGGTTTAAAAATGTTAGAACTCAAAATGAACAAACTAGAGATACAGATACATCTCAGAAACTATGGAAACTGAACTAGAGGGTAATTTGTATGATATGGGTCCACTTATTTATATAAAGTTTGAAAACATGCAAATCAACGCTGTATTTTCCATGGCTAAATACCATATGGAAATTGTGTAATAACATTCATGGAAATGATCATCAAATTGTGATGACCTCTGGAGAGGGAGAAAAATGAGACTGAGGTGAGGATGCAAAGGGAGATATCTTTTCATCACTTATATGCCTAAAAAATTAATATGGGTAATTCTTCTAAGTTGATAAAGCTGATTGTGGGTTTTTATTCTTTGTATCTTTCTGTATATTTAAACTATTTCATAATTAAAACATTTAAGTAATGTCTTCCTTTTGTCATTTCTTTACTATACCTCACGTATGCCATATTCACCATTCATCCAGACCATATTCACCGTTTTCTTCAGAAAGAAACTCATATACAGTCGACTTCCAGATGTAAACACTGTTAACAATTTGGTGATCATCCTTTCAGGAATCAGTGTTTTGAGGAATACTGTTTTCACACTGAGGATTTTATAGCCTACTAATGACATGTTATTATCCCTGTTAGTCTCCCCCATCCCCACTGGCTTTGAGGTATGATTGACAGAATTGTATATATTTAAAGTGTACAATGAAATGTTTTGATATATTTATACATTGTGAAGTGATTACTACAATCAAGCTAATTAACATATCCATCACCTCACATACCTACCATTTGTGTGTGTGGTAAGAACATCTGAGATCTACTGCCTTTGCAAATACCAAGTATACAATACATTATTATTAACTATAGTTACCATGGTATACATTAGACCTTACTCATATTGTAACTGAAAGTTTGTGCCCTTTGATCAATATCTCCCTCCCTGCTGCCCCCCATCCCTAGCCTCTGGTAACCACCATTCTGCTCTCTTATTATGAGTTCAACTGTTTTTTTAGAGTTCACATGTGACTGAGATAATATGGTATTTGTCTTTTTGTGTCTGGCTTATTTCCTTTAGCATAATGCCCTCCAGGTTTATCCATGTCATGTTCTCGTAAGTGGCAGGATCTCCCTTTTTAAGGCTGAATAATATCACATTGTATATATACATCACATTTCCTTTATCCATCTGTCTACAGACACTAAGGTAGTTTCCATATCTAGGTTACTGTTAATAATGCTGTAACGAACATGGAGCTGCAGATATCACTTTGAGATCCTGATTTCATTTCCTTTGACTATATACTCAGAAGTGGGATTGCTGGGTCATATGGCAGTTCTAATTTTAATTTTTTGAGAAACCTCCATACTGTTTTCAATAATGGATGTACCAATTTACAATCCCACCAAAAATGCACAAGGGTTCACTTTTCTCCACACCCTGCCAACACTTGTTATTTTGTTGTCTTTTTGATGATAGCCATTCTGACAGATGTGAGGTGGTATCTGATTGTGGTTTTGATTTGCATTTGTCTAATGATCAGTGATGGGTGTGGAATCTAAACAAAGAGAAAAACCCAAACAAAACAAAATGAAAACAGACTTACAGATACAGAGAACAAATTGATGGTTGCCAGAAGGGAGGAGGTGGGGGTATGGGGGTAGGGGAACTAGATGAAGGGGATTAAGAGGTTCAAACCTGCAGTTACATAATAGATAAGTCATGGAGATGTCATATACAGCATAAAGAAGATGGTCAATAATATTGACTAACTTTGTATGAGGACAAATGGCTTCTAGACTTATAAGGATCATTTCACAATGTATGCAAATGTCAAATTATTATGTAGTACATTTGAAACTAACATATTATTTATTGTAGGTCAACTATTTCAACAAAAAATTAAGTTTTCCCATAATTCTTGACTTCTCAAAGAGTAAACCTCCAATTATTACTGCTTAAACTCCTATTTCTGTTCTTGTAACTACTGAAATACGTCTATGTGTAGTCCTGAGGATCTTCTGATATTCAGTGTCATTTATTCACTTGGACTTTTTCACCTAAATCTCAAACCTTAAATGTCCCAAGGCAATTGCATCATATAAAAAATATATATTATATATATATTTATATATTTAAACCAAACCAGGTCTTCTGATTTCTCTTTATATGTTAATGCCACTGTTAACCCTCCAATTCAGTCAAGCTTAAAACTAAAATTTCAAATGTTGTCTAAACAACCATCTATAGTATCCATTTGAAAACTTATTGTGGAACTTTATGTGAATACTTATGTGGGCATATTATTGTTCTCATTACTTTAGACGCTAAAGTTTTGGATCAGATTTAATGTTCTCTATAAAGGTCAAGCACATTTTGGCTGAATTTATTCCTAGGCATTTTATTTCTTATTTTATTGTTATTATTATAAATCGTTTTTTTTTAAGTACATTATCTTATTCTTTCTTGCTGATATATGAAAACATGATGGATTTTTGTTTAGAATTATATTCCACACCTCTCTTATTACTATTACTTCTAATAATTTATAGATTTAAATTCTTTGGGGTTTTCTATATCCTCTCTCAATAAAGAAAAGTTCTTTCACAGTAATCTTTTTATTGTGTCTTCTGGTTTCTTCCCTCCCCTTGCCTTCTCTCCTCCCTTCCCAACTCCCTCCCTCCATTTCTTCCTTCCCTTCTTTCTGTTACACATGTTTTCTTCATCTTGCTAGAACCACAGTATAATGCTGAATAGAAATAAATATCCTTGTCTTGTTTCTAATTTATAAGGAAAAGTAATTCTAATGTGTTACCTTTAAGTATGATGTTTACTGTAGGTTTTTGAGGTAGATACCCTTTATCAGGTTAAAGAATTTTCTCTCAGTTAAAAAGAAACAGTTTTGAATTTTACAAATGTTTTTGAACCTCTTAAGATTATAATATGATTTCTATTTAAGCAATTAATGTGGTAGATTGTGCTAGTAGATTTTCTAATGTTAAGCTAACCTTAAATTATAGGGATAAACCAACTGCATCATGATGTGTCTGTGTATGCATGTATAAAAGCTGTATTTATTTTCTAATTTTCAGTTATTTTGAATTTATAATCATATATAAGATTGACATCTAATTTTCCTTTCCTTTTAAAATTCATGTCTGTTATTACCTCTGTGGTATTATTGGCTTTATATAATGAGTCGATGGACATTTTCTCCTATTCTCTGGAAGAATTGGTATGCAAATGGAATTGTTTCTTCAAAATTTGGGGAAACTGTCCAGTAAAATTGTCTGCCCTGATGTTTCTTTGGGGAGGGTAAGTTTAGTTTTTCTGATTCTTCACTGTCTATTTACATTTTTTTTTTTTGGTCACTTTGGTAACTTATTTCTCTAAAAAACTTTTCATAACTACTATGTTTTCAAACTTATTAGCATGGGTTTTTTTTTTTAATAATATTCTCTCATTTTGTATATCTCTACTATACCTCTTATTGTGTTTCTACTTTTATTTCTAATAATATTTGTACCTTCAACTCCTTTTTAAAATCAGTCTTGTCAACACATCTTATATTTTATTAGTCTTTTAATGAACTGTCTGTATTTTGTCCATTTTTGTTGCTATGCTTTCTAGTTCATTAATTTCTACACTTATTTTCATTTCCTTTCTTTGAGTTTTCTGAAGCCCTTCAGGAATAGACAGCTTTGTCAGTTCTGAATGGACTGCCATCTTTGTATAGGTGTCTGTGCACAGACGTGTGCACTGGGGTTAGCAGGCCGGGCTGTGCTCTCCAAACTAATCCTTCTCAGAGCTGGATCAAGACGGCAGAATAGAAGGATGCAGAGCTCACCTCTTCCCATAAATACATCAAAAATACATCTACATGTGGAACAGTTCTCACAGAATACCTACTGAAATCTGGCAGAAGATCTTATACAATCAAGTCTGTGGAAAAGATCATCACATAACCAGGTAGGATGAGACAAAAAAAAAAGAATCAGAGCAGGACCTGCACCACTGGGAGGAAGCTGTGGAAGAGGAAAGTTTCCCTCACCCTGGGAAGCCCCTTCACCAGCGGGAAGATCAGCCTGGACAGAAAGGGAGCCTCAGAGGCTTGGAGGAGAGCACAGCAGCTGGTCTGCAGCAGGCAGAACAGAGAGAGACTGACACAGAGGATCCCCAGCCCGAGCCAGGAGCCTGCTGGTGCAGGCAGCGGCTGGTACTGAAACCTGAGCTTTGGAGAACAGACCCAGGGAGAGAACTGGGGTTGGCTGCGTGAGGACAGCCTGAAGAGGCTGGAGTGTGGTGTGGGCTGGGGTTGGGAGAATGTGCAGCAGAGCCCAGGTCTACCATAAGAAGCCCCATTGTTGGTGTGCCCGAATGGAGGGGCAGGACCCCATCATAGAAGCCTCCTTCTCAGCTTGCT